CCATGGCTTGAGAAAGAAGCTTAAGTCGGAGCATCCCCTGAAATAAGATGCACAAGAACAGCATCTCCACGTCAGGTAATGCAGTAAACCCCAAAACACAAAAAATGCCTATGGAACACAAAAAGAGGAATGCTTCAATATATCACAGCAGGTAAAGCATCTAAGTTGTATTACAAAGGAAGTACATACATCAGAGAAATGGAAAACGGCATCTGAGACATAAGAAATGGCCCAGAATCATGAAAGGCCTGCAGTTTGTGTGAAAGCAGGAAAAGTACTGCAAGAGTGAAGGGTTAAAGGTAAACAAGAAATATGACCTGGGGTCAGTGCCTCATCATCTTATTTTTCCTATCTAGAAACCAAGCAGATGGACCTAATGATTTCTATGTGTTGGCCATTACTAGCAGAGGATGGCTCCATGGTCCTATGACTTCTGCTGGGAGCCATCCTGAAGATGTCTCTCATGCTACCATCGGGGAGCAATATTTGTCACCACAAAGTGTGTCTCTGGCAGAAGATTTATTCAGGCTGATTATTTTTAAGAAACCAAGACTCGGGAAGTTTTTCTTATTCCCTCCCCGGTAACTGCCTAAAAGAATTTAGAGAGAGGGCCTGTTCCCAGAATAGACCCATCACCAGAGATACCTGCAAAGAATATGGGCCAGGTGTGGTGGGGGAACTAGACTAGAGAGATCAGAGTCCACTCTGTGACCCCTTGTCCCTGCCCGACCCAGCAAACACGTGTTTACCAAACATTTGCTTCTCCCTCTCCATGTGAATTGCTTTCCTCCCCTTTGAGGTCCCAAACCACCACCCCCAACATCCTCTTTTGTCTTTAGCTGAAGATGGTATTTAAGGGGAGGGTTTCTGCCATTCTGGTCGCTTACTAGTCATCCTGGGTCTCTCCCACGTGTACAAGTTATTAAACTTTTGTTTGATTCTTCTGTTAATCTGTTTCATGTCAATGTAATTCTTAAGCCAGCCAGAAGGACTCAGAAGGGTAGAGGAAAATTTCTTCTTCCCTGACACTATAAAATTATACATCTTTCTGGAGATCTATAAAGCAGTGAAATTCTCAAACTTGTTATCAAACTATAAAAACAATACTCTACATAAAACAGTTTTATCTATTCCTCATCATAAATTAATAAATGTTTGTGGCATTACAATGTAACAATAAAACTATCGGCTCACATTCATGGAGTGCTTTCTATGTGCCAGGCACTATGCTTCGTAGAGGTCATTCCTACCCTAACTTTTGTCAGAGTAGCAACGTCAGCCCTATTTTGCAGGTGAGGAACTCAGAGAGAGAAAACCCCTGCCGAAAGCAACACTTCATGCAATCTGTAAATACAGAGCCATGATTCAAACGCAAAGCTGCCCCCAGCATTTATAAGATTTTAGTTCTGACCACTCTCTAAAGGTATAGTTTGCTCCCAAAGCCTGACTCCTCTCGCTCAAGACATACAGACTAGCCATGGCCCTAAGAGACCTATGGTACATGAAAGCAGCATACCTATAGAAAAGCGAACCATGAAATAACAAGCAGAAAGTACCAGGGAAAAGTCAAGTATTGTGAAAAACAGCTTTGTCAAGCTATTAAGTGTAAGTGTGAGCAACAGGAATTTAAGAACAATGGAGAGCTTAGCTTGACAGCAGCAAAAAGAAACAAAATTACTCATTTCATACAGAAGTGGTGAACTCACAAAGGTAATAGGAGATGTTGCAATTATCAGCAGCATGGATGGGAAGATTTGTTCTGCATTAATCTTCTCAGCCACAGCTCTCAATGTATTTGCAAAACATAAATCTGACATCAACTAAATCTGTCTGTAAATCCTCAAATTCATTCACACCTTTCTATTTCCAAAGGTTGCAAACCCTCCATTTTTCCTAAATCCCCTCCCATCACTTGCATGGAAGACAATTCAAGATTTCTCAAAGTGCCAAAAAGAAACTCATTCTCTCTTCATTACCCTTCTCCACCCCATGCTCCCCAAAACACCTTTGCACGCAGCCTCTTTCCCCCCTTTACACTTGTAAAAAATTAATAAACAAAAACCTGAATTAAATAGAGTGGGGTGACCAGAAGGGGGAGCTCTCACATCCTGTGACCATGGTGGAACCCAACAGGAAGAAGAAATGCTGTTCTTTCCTGCAAGGACTCAGCCAATGAAAAGCCACAGCCTCTTTGTTTACACAGCCCTCCTGACTTTCTCTCTCCTCGATAAAAGGTTCTCCTTCCCTTGTCACGCAGGAACTTGCACCTGGCTCGCCATGGTTGCAGACCCCGAGCTGCAATTCTCTGCTGATCCCGAATAAACTCACCTTTGTCGTAGAAACGTCTGGCAGTCTATTTGTTTCAGGTTAACACACTCATCCTCTGCTTCATTCCTAATGTAACCAGCTCTTTCAGATCCTTCCTGCTCCTCAGCAGCACTCCTGCAAAGCCAACTCACTTCCTTGCCTCCAGTTTCTCCCACAACCAATCCATACTGAAAACTCTTCCAAATCAATATTCCTAACAGACTTATCTTGTTACATCACACTCTCCTTAAGTCCATTTGAAGAACCAACTCTTCAGCAAGGCCTTTCATTGTTGCCAAGACCCAGCCCAGTTTATGTTTATAGTTTCATCTCCTACTCTCCTACACAAAATTCTCCACTGTACAAAAAACAACAACAAAAATTAATTACAACTCCTGAAATGTGATTTGAGGTGTCCCATTGGTTCTTCTATTGCCAAAAGAAGGAAAACACATGCAAAGAAGTATATAATAAGCCAATGCCTATGGTGGACCAAGAGCTGTATGTGGTACAACTAAAGGACTAAACAGATTGGTATCATTTCTTTGGATCAAACAACACACTGCTTTCAAATTATAAAGATACTGGGGGGGAAAACTTCTAATAAACTTTTTCTAAAAGAACTAAATTAAGTGAGTAGGGTTTGGGTCAGCATTCCAAGCAGAAGGAACAATACAGCTTCCTTGCTAATAACACATGCTTCTGAGTTAGACCAACTTGCCCCCAAGTCTCAGCTAGCTCTGCCTCTTCTAAGCAGTGTGTTATGAGGCAAGTTTCTTACTTAAGTCTCAGTTTCAGGGCTGATACTATCTCCTAGCAGTACTGGGAGAATTTGAAGATAAAATCAGTTGTGCACATAAGCACCTAGCATAGTGCCTAGTACATGTTAAGAGCTAAGTAAGGAGAGATTAAGAATTATCCTTACTGAAGCAGTCTCAGATCCAGTGAAGAAGTAGACAATTAGTATAGGAAAAGCAGTAAAAGATGAGAAGGATGAGAAATACACAGAGTACTTGTGTCATCTGTAGTACGCAGAATATTCACCAAAAAGCATATAGCCGCTATGCCCTGGAATCCTGGGGGTTATGAATGCTCATCACCATTACATGGTCAAATGCTTTTACGTTTTACTTAGTATGTGAGGGCTTATTAATGTTCCACTGACCTCACAAATCTGGGAAACAAAGCAACAGCTAAAACATTCCTAGCACCAGTTTATCTGTCACAAAGAGGAACAGCAATAGCTGGTCTCACTGAAAAATTTACTGTAGCTGAACTTGACAAGTACCCTATCACCCTTAGGTGAACCCAAAGTCAGGAGCCTTCAGATACCCTAGGAATTCTCAGGGGCAGTTTAAGAGGTAGAAGTTAGAAAAGAAAAATGCATCTGGACAGGAGGTTAGACCAGAGAGAACTAGAAAGACCAAGAGAGGAACAGTATTGATATTTCAAAACAGTAACATTAGTCAACAAGTGTCTAACCTAACTTCCCATTACTGGGAAACAAACCCAATTAAGCCTCATATGTACAAATCATGTCTTCACTGTGGGGACTTATTTTATATACTTAAGATACTTATAAATCTATTCTTTCTCCAAGGGGCTAAAAACAAATTAAGAGTACATGCTCTCTTTTTATGTGAAAGAACAGTCAAGGACTGCACTAGATCTAATTAGTATTTAACATGCTCATTTAACTCACTTTTTCAGTTACATTTCCTAATCTTCTAAACTGATTTTCAAATGTAGAAAATTATTCTTCCACATCAAAATCACATGTGTCTGTATATCTCTGAATGAACTGCTTTAAAATGAATACTTTTATCAGCTTTCATTTTGGTAAATTATGAGAATCATACCTGTGAACTTAACTTATGGTCAAGCCTGTAGTATTATAATTTTATAATTTTAAGTGACAAGATTGTTTTACCCCATTTCTTTGTAGACAAAAAAATGGAACCTGCTCATCAGATTTCCAGAAGGAGTACTTGCTTACATAAAAATTTAAATTTGTACGGTTAACCATATAATTCACTTCAAAATGATAAATCCATAATATAAATTATAAAGATTTTTAAAATTTACATACATTATGTCAAAATAATTCATAGTTTGGCTATACAAAATACTTAAGGAACTAGAGAATATTATAATTAAAATACAAATGCAGTAAATTCATTTCCAAGTCTCCCATTTTAAGAAAACAAAGCCACAGATAAGAATTATTTTAAAATAAGAAAATAATGTCAGTTCAACTTATATATGTTAATGATTCAAACATTACTGTAACAAGGGTAGAACTGACCTCTTAGTTATAGCAGTTACTACTTCTTACTGCCTTACTTACAGAAGGGTATCCCTCAAAGTACCACATCATCAAGTTTTCTGATGGGGAAATGTTTGTTTCCAAATATATATTCCACAGACACATTAAAAGAGTATAAAAACATGCTGAAACTGTAAACATTCACTTCCTAATAGCTTCACGAAAGGGCCTCTTCATCACGCATCTACCTGGTAACTTCAAAACATTTTCCATGTATTCTGCACACATGGCTTTTTATTCTCAGAGTTGATCAAGAGAAAATACTTAAATCAACTCATATGTAGTAGTCATAGTAGTAGTAGTAACAGTAGTAATAATCATTAATTGTCCAATTTTAAATGCTTTTTAAAAATTATGTGGTTCCAACCTGGTCTGCAAAGTCCTCTGGGAACTTCCACAATACCTCCGGATCTGTAAATAATTGACACAGAGCATTAAACAGAGAAAATAACACATTTATAGCAACAGTCTTGTTCAAATACTCTTAAAATTGTCAAAGCTACTTTTTTTAATAATTTTAAATTTTTTCTTTAAATATTTGCAGTTGATGAGGTTCAAAATTAAATATTTTGATAGTTTAAGGGTTTTAATGACCTTTGGAACAGGAATAATAAAATGAATAACTTGGTCAGATTATTAAAAATATTATTTCTTTTAGCAACTCATTTTTTACTTATATACCTTAGATTTTAAGATTCTGAAATATAAATTTTCAGATTTAACTCCACTTAATACACTGGTTTTATTCTGAAAAGAAAAATATAAATGTGGTAAATATGTAATCAAATATATTACAGCCCTCAGAAACTAGACTAAAATACAACATCTTGAATTTCCACTTAAAATCCTAAAGACATTTTTCCAAAGAGGACATGCATATGGTGAACAGGCCCATGAAAAGATGCTCAACATCACTGTCATCAGAAAAATGCAAACTAAAACCACAATGAGATATCACCTCACACCTGTCAGAATGGCTACCATCAAAAAGAACACAAATAGCAAATGTTGGCAAGGATGCGGAGAAAAGGGAGCCCTCCTACACTATTGATGGGAATGTAAATTGGTGTTGCCACTGTGGAAAACAGTATGGAGGTTCCTCAAAAAACTAAAAGTAGAAGAACTACCATATGATCCAGCAATTCCACTCCTGGATATATATCCCCCCAAAAATGTAAACACTAATTTGAAAAGATACATGAACCCCAATGTTCAGAGCATTATTTACAATTACCAAGATATGGCGGCAACCTAAGTGTCCACTGACAGATGAATGGATAAAGAAGATGCGGTATGTATGTGTGTACACACACACACACACACACACACACACACACACACACACACACACACACACACACACACTGGAATACTACTCAGCCATAAAAAAGGAATGAAATTTTGTCATTTGCAACAACATGGAAGGACTTGGAGGGCATTATGCTAAGCAAAACAAGTCAGAGAAAGACAAGTACTGTATGATATCACTTATATGTGGAATCTAAACAAATAAAACAAACTAGTGAATATAACAAAAAAGAAACAGACTCACAGATGTAGAGAAAAAATGAGTAGTTACCAGTGGGAAGAAGGAAAGGGAGGGGAAAAATAGGGGTAGGGGATTAAGAGGTAAAAACTATTATGTACAAAATAAATAAGCTACAAGGATGTATCGTACAACACATGGAATATAGCCAGTATTTTGTAGTAACTATAAATGGAATATAACCTTTAAAAATTGTGAACCACTATGCTGTATACCTGTATCTTACATTTATTGTACATCGACTATGCTTCAATTTAAAAAATGAAAAAGAAAATAAAATCCTCAATAAAAGTGTATGAACACAGTAATAATGTTTGTTATATAAAGGTTCACTTTTGAAATCCTATATTTGCAACACCATAAATCAGCTTTTAAAGCAATAGATAAGTTGGTAGGCATAAGGCATCAAGCTTGTTTAAAATACAATTGACATTTCTGGGGTATTTCAGAGATATTTTTCTAATATATTATATCCAGTTATTCATATATAAAAATCAATGTTGTTTTATAAATTTTCGTACTGGTTTTCATTTTCGTTATTTCTTCACACTATTTCTCTTCTACTTAGCATAATAAAAAGAAGTCTTTTTAACTGACAGTAAAAAATATTTTGGTTGCATATGTATTTTTTAATTCTGTCAATAACATACTGAATACTGCAAATGTGCTTTAAAAGGAAACTGTACAAAGGACAGTATTACTTCCAAAAAAGCCTCTGAAAGCCCAATATAAAGTAACAAGCACAACTGACAAGACAGGATCAAAATATCAAAAATACCACTTTATGTACCCAGTCAGTAAAAATTACAGCTCAATCCCATTATTTCCACTATACCATATTGTTTTTTAAAAAATACAGTCCAAGGATGCATAATTTCAAGTATTTAATCCCAAAACTCAGTAATTACCCAGCAACATTTTGAGCATGAGGTGGCTTCTCTTGCTGTATTACTTATGAGGCTCAAAAAAATTTTTTTCAAACATTTTAACTTAAAAAAAAAAGGAAGCATACTTTCTACAATTAATCTTTTTACTAAGGAATAAAAAGTTTCTACATAAATTAACATAAAAATCATTTAAAACATCTTATATAAGAATAGTGCATTACTAATTTATGGAGCTAATATTAAATGATTATGCCTTCATGTAAAACAAAATGTGTACATTTCTAAAACGACTGTGACATGTATAGATCACCTAAAAATACTGAAACATTAACGTCCTGTAGAAATTATGTTGGAAAACATATATATGTGCCCATGTATGTACATATATGTGTATGTGTGTGTGTTTATGTGGCAGTTTTACCAAAAGAGTAGTTATTAAGATTTGCATCTCATAAAACAAAAGTGTATGATGGATTCTTCATGAAATATTAAACAAAATTTATTATCTTGATAAATTAACACAATAACTAATGGCCCTATAAACAAGTCATCATGCAGAAATGTGGAATAGTCCCTTCTTATAAATAAAGGAGTTAGAGAGTTGCAATGTGAATATTTTAAATATCCCTTTTAAACAACCTCAATTTTACAGTTACCATTTGAGAAAATATGACAGATTCCTTACACTTAGACCTTAAAGCCAGGATAGTTGTCTTGTTGGACAGCCCCAACACTTTGCCCTGCTGTTTGCAGCATTTACCTAATTACGTCTTCCTCCCTCACGTTTCTTCATCCCTTACACTACGCAGTTTTCTCTGTCCCGCCTGGTCTGTTATTTCACAGAGGATGAACAAGTGAATACATGAAAAGAGCAAATATCGGTTTAGTCACATAGTGGAAAATACCCTATTTCTTTTCTTTGCATTAAATGCGTGTTACACTTCAGCACCCAAAAATGTATTATAATCATGTGCAATCCATATCTGAAATGGATTAACTTAGTTACTGCCTGTGTGGTTAGGTTTACCCCGTATCTGACACATGTTGGCAGCAACTCTTCGCAAGGACTGCAGAGGAAGAAACAAAAGAGCTCTGAAAAAAATGAAAATAGTCCAATTTTCAAATTTATGCACAACGACGGAATTTTCTGTTCCCTGGGGATTACTTTCCAGATGCGAGATCTGACCTGGCAAAGCTAGGTCGATTTTATGCTGATTTTATGGGTGAAAGGGTGGGAACTGCTGGTAGGAGTCACCGCTACCCGCGGTGACTGGGACACACCGTGTTTCTCTTCTGTCCAGTGTCCACCCGTAACTCAGAGAAGACTCCACATCTTAAAGAGGAACTTTGCCACCAACAATCCAGAAACCAAATAAACATGAAAGGAAGAACATGTAACTTGATTTTTACATAAATATAGTTAATCTCTTATTTTAATAAAAGAATGTTACAGTGTAGTGAGAAAAATATACAAATTTTTATTAAATCAGTAAATTTGGAAGGAGAGTATTTAATGTATTATTTGTGCATCACCATCACAAGTATTCCAAATTCCTGAAGCTTTTTTTTTTTAATGTAAAGTGAGATAAATTTAGTAATATTTTATTTTCCTTTGCAACCAGACCTTTCACATTTTCTGGCCTGTAACTAAAACCAAAAATTAAAATAACTTAAAATATTACTGTGATTCAACTACACTTTTTCATGCAGGAAAAACTTTAATTTACACAAATGAATAATATTTACTTAACTCTGTGGAATTCATAGATGAATATATTTAAAATTATGCATTTGTCAAACCACAGTTCAGAGACTATATACCTTTGAAAAGGCAGAATATATAGTATTAGTGTTTTGCTTGATTATAGCTTCAGTGCTTATTCACCTACATTGTAGAATCAGAATTTTACAAATGAGGAAACTGAAGCCAATGCAATGAGGAGCATGTCTTTATTTTTTTAAATAAAGTTATCTATTTATTTATTTTTGGCTGCATTGGGTCTTTGTTGCTGCGCGTGGGTTTTCTCTAGTTGCGGCGAGTGGGGGCTACTCTTCCTTGCGGTGCGCGGGCTTCTCATCACCAAGGTGGCCTCTCCTGTCACGGAGCACAGGCTCTAGGCGTGCCGGCTTCAGTAGTTGTGGCACGTGGGCTCAGTAGTTGTGGCTCGCAGGCTGTAGAGTGCAGGCTCAAGTAGTTGTGGCGCAAGGGCTTAGTTGCTCCGTGGCATGAGGGATCTTCCCGGACAAGGGCTTGAACCTGTATCCCTTGCATTGGCAGGCGGACTCCTAACCACTGTGCCACCAGGGAGGTCCCTGGGAGCATGTCTTAATTATAAGGCTAGTTAATGTCAGAGGCTAGAACTTTCTTAGTTGAGATCTAAGGAGCAGCTATTTTAAATAATTTCCAAAATCGATACATTTCTGTGTCCCACTTAAGTTCAATTTATTTTATTCAAAAATCTATGCAATGCTAAAGAAACAGGAAAAGTCCCTGCCCTCCAAAGCCCTATAGCATACATGGAGAAAAATGTCACAGAGCTACCTAGTTTTTGTGCAAACAAGGTATCCTGCAGGAATTCCTCAGTAACTGGAACACACAGATTCATACACACAGCATTATGGTATACTGGCTAAGAATATGAATTCTAGAATAGGAATGCTTGAACTCAATTTGAAAATTCACTGGCTTAATAATTTCAAAAAATGTTCCTAACAAAAGAATGGTGATGTCTCTTGAATATAAATGAGCAGGAATCATTCAAGAAAATCTTCCACCTGTGGAGATATAATGGTGAACTAAACAAAATAGGTCTCTACAATGTATAGAAAAGGATGGCATCTAAACCTATAGCTCAGTAAAATTTAATGAGTGTTATGCTAAAGGATAGGATACTACTGGACAGCACAAGGAAAGCCAATCTAATTTAGAAAGCCACTAGTTAGACAAGCAAAGGATGATTTGGGCTATAAAGTGGGCA